CAGTGGAAACCCAAGAATCACCAACGATGTTGGAATAAACCCTCCCTCCAAGCTTCCTCTTCATAGACCCCTACATCGGTTCATTTCCACTGAGGGAACTGCCTCGTTGGAAGGCAACTGTCTGAAGACCCTGAAACATGCCAAATAATTGTTTTCGGGATTTTAACGCCACGGATCAGCCTGGTTGTTGCGTCTTGACGATCTCGAAGCGTGCCAGATCACAATTCCTGGTACTTGAACACCGCGAACCAGCGTAAATGTTGAATCCTGAATCCTGAATCCTTCCAAGAACACCGTTTCTGGTGTTGCTGAGCATGGGAATCCGTGAAACTCTTTCAACATTGAAAACCAATGTGGGCGGCGCTGAGGCGAGAGCCACATGTTGAAAAAGAACCGCCCTCACTCCGTGAAACTCTTGTGAATCGTTAAACGAATGTGCACGGCGCTAAGGCGAGAGCCACATTTCGAAAAGGAACGGCCCTCAATCCGTGAAGCTCTTGTAAGGTTTCAAAACACATGTGCGCGGCGCTGGGGCGAGAACCACGTTTTAAAAACCACCCGCCATCAATCCGTGAAACTCCTGCAAGAAGTGTTCAAAACGAATGTGCGCGGCGCTAAGGCGAGAGCCACATGTTGAAAACCACCCGCCATCCATGTGCGAAGCCGTTGTCAAGGCTTAAGATTCAGGGTTATACGTGGTGGAGAGGTCTCAGGCGAAACGCCCCCGGGGTGCGACAGGGAGAAATGACTTAGAAGGGAAAGGCATGGAAGGGGGCAGAGCGCTGAGCCCTGCCTGCTCGGAGCTCACCCACCCATGCGCCCGTGCGCGCCACCTCTGCGAGCCCCGCTGCCCGCCAGGAGGGGGAGGTCACCGGCCGACCCGCGAACCCCAACTCGCACATCGCGCCTCCCAAGCGAAACAGCCGACGCGGGCTTGACGTCAGCGCCCGCCTCGCAGCGGGGAAGAGGAGGAGGGAAGGTGAAGGAGGAAGGGGGACGAGGGGGAGAGGGGGAAGGGCGAAGGAAGGGGGTGGAGGAGGAGGAGGAGGAAACGGGTGGAGGATGAGGATGATAGGCGGATAGGCGGATAGGAGGAGGATCCTGGATGGGGGAGGAGGAGGAGGAGGAAGCGGAGCAGGAGGAGGAGGAGGAGGAGGAGGAGGAGGAGGAGGAGTGGGGCCAGGGAGGAGGGAAGGAGGAGGAAGGAGGATGATAACGAAGAAATCCAAGAGTAATAGGGCCCCGGAATTAAATGTGCGTCCACGGCGCGGGAAAAAAGTCTCGGTTCGCGAGACCAGTCCAGGGGTGAAGCCTACAAGCCTGCCAGACCAGTCCGGTGATGACATACCTACAAGCCTGTCTGAAGGATGGCGAGGGCGAGGCGAATAATGTGACGGTCACCGTGAAGAGTAAAGCCTGTGGAGGGAAAAAGCTGAGAAGGAGGGGGCACGGGAGAAATGGAGGAGGACGGGCAGGATAAGGAAGACGAATAACATGGGGGGGGATTGCGCTTCAGGCTGCCGCGCCCGCCACCCCGAGGCGCAGCACGCATCCGCCGCCTCGTCGTCGTCGGTGGTCACCATGAGGTTGCACAGGAGGGTGTTCCATCCCCTGCGACGGGAGGAAGAGGAGCGGCAGCAGGAACAGCACGAGAAGGAGAAGTAGCAGGAGGAGGAGGAGGAGGAGGAGGAGGACCACACAGAGAAGGAAGAGGAGGATCTACGAGAAGGAGGATCGAGGAGGGGGAGGAGGAGGAGGAGGAGGAGGAGGAGGAGGAGGAGGAGGAGGAGGAGGAGGAGGAGGAGGAGGGAGGAGGAGAAGGAGGAGGAGGAGGAGGAGGAGGAGGAGGAGGAGTTCAGAGAAGGAGGGCTTCGCAGGCGAAGGGAAGGAGGAAAGAGGAGGACGATAACCAGGCGGACGAGCAAGAGGAGGAGGGAGAGGCGAAGGTATCAAGGAGAGCTGAACCCCACCGCTGCGCGCATCGCCGCCCTGCGACGCGCGCAGAGAGACGCGCGTTGGCCTCCGCGCCCTCGCGCACTACCAGCACGAGATCGCGAGGCGCACATTACAACAGGTCGCTCTCTTACTTTTCGGCGGTCGCCTGGGTTAACTGGTGGGGGGGCCAGGGAGGAGACGGCCGCGATAACCTGACTTGTTCGCTTTGGGGCGGCCCCACGTGCGCCGGAACGTGCCAGTACTGCGTAGCCCCTTCGGACCTGCGGGACCGACAAGGTCAAGTCATCCTTGAAGGGGCCCTGGGACACACACACACACACACACACACACACACACACACACACACACACACACACACACACACACACACACACACACACACACACACACACACACACACACACACACGCACATGAATAGACACAACAATAACCAGTTTCCCGATATTTTCCTACATTTTCTGGGTTTCTGTCTTCCCTCCCACTTCCCATATTTTCCTATATTTTCGGGTGAATCGACGATTAGTTGTGTCTGTGTGTTTTTTCCCCTCCTGAATTCTGGCGGGAGAGGGGGGGGCCGGCGAGCCCGATGACCCCGGCAACTGCAAGACCCTTATACAAAACAGTGCCCCGCAGCATCGGGGCGAGCGAGAGGGGGGAGGCCGTGCATGGGGGCTCCGCGAGCCAACTCCGGGCAGAGCTGCTGCTCCTCGTGTCGCAGGGCTTCCTCCCCCCTGTGCCGCAGAGCTGGCAGAGACCCCCCCCCTTCCCCTCCCCTCCCCCTCCTCCTCCTCTGTGCCACAGGGCTTCCCTTCGCGCTTGTGAAAAAAGTGCATATGGGGGCTCGGCGAGCCAGCTCACGCAGCTGGCCCTCCCAGCACCTCCCGGTGCCAGCGGCACCAAGAGGCCGAGGCGAGCGCCCGGCGGCGAGGCCGACACCGGCTGCACGCAGCAGAGTCCGTGGCCGCTCCTCGCTTCCGACCCGCGAGCAGGGCGCCGGCCCCCTGGAGAAGAGCAGCTCCCTGGCCCAGGCCACGCACCGCGGCTGCCGCCGAGCCCCCCGAGAAACCAGGCGCGACACTGCGCGCCCGAGGTGGCGGAGCCTCGTGCCGCAGATCTGTGGGCAAGGTGGAGGCGAGAGAAGGCAGAGTTCGGGTGATGGTGAGTCGGGGCATCTCTGAGAGCCTGCGCTCCTGGGAGACATACCAGGAGCCTCGGCCGCCCCAAGCGAGCGCCCCCGAGCGCTCCGAGAGCGCCCCGGCACGCTGTGGACTCGTGTCCTCGTCCCAACTCTGACTGGCCTTCCCCGGGGCTTGGTTTCCATCGTGGGCCTTGTTGCGGTCCCAGAGCCCAGGAAAGGCTGCTGGAGGCAGGAGCAGAGGAAGAATACAAGTCGTGGCGGCGGAGGTCTGGGGAGAAGGGGGAGCAGCTACATCGCCACACAGAGGAGGCAGCGTCCTGCACCGGCACGACTGCCAGAACAAGCCGCTCTTCATCTCGTTGACTGAGAAGCAGCGCTGCGGCTCGATGCCCGCGCTGAGAGCCTTGTCCTGAAGGAGGAGGAGGAGGAGGAGGAGGAGGAGGAGGAGGAGCAGGAGGAGGAGGAGGAGGAGGGGAATACGGAGAAGGAGGGGGAGAAGGACGACGAGGACGAGGAGGAGAAGGGGAGCGGGGGAAGGAACAGATCAGGGCGATTCATCCTTTGGAGGAGGGGGGAATATGGGGAGGAGTAGGAAGACGACGACGAGGAAAAAAAGGGGAAGGAGGCGGAGACTGAGAAGGAGGATGGCAGGCATGCCCATGAGTGCTCAGAGAAGGACAACGACAAGCTGAGAAGGCGAGGGAAAGGAGAGGGGGGAGGAGGGCGAGAACGAAGAGCAGCAGTGGGTGAAGGAGGGAGCGTGGGGCGGGGGCAGAGGGGGATTTGCCAGACGCCGGGCGTACACATCCCACCCTGATCAGGACTGCCGGGGGGGGGAATGATGCTCGGGCACGCGCTCGCGCCACCCGGCCCCCAGCCGCCCCACAAGCCTGCCTCGCCCGCTGCACCCCTGCCTCCCCATCGAGGCCTCGCCCGTGCCTCCCCATCGAGGCCTCGACCCACTCATAGCACGTCAACCCTCTCGAGGTCTCGACCCGTGCCCCAGGACAGGCGCTCCATCCTGCGTCGTTTCCTGAAGGCCCCGCGGCCCGGGGGGGCCCCCCAGGGGCTGAAGGCAGCGAACAGAGCCGCCCGTCGCGACTCCCCCGGACTCCAGGGGGCCTGGGCCCGCCTCGAACCCCACGCGGCCCCCCGCAACGAGAGGGGGCGGGAGGCGCCGTGCGCCGCGTCGGCGGGGGCCTCGCTCCGCGCTTGAGGGGCGCTGGGCCGAAGAGGAGGAGGAGGAGGAGGAGGAGGAGAAGGAGAGGAGGCGGAGGACTATGCAGGACTATGCATGACGGGCGACAACGACAGTCGACGCCTATTATAATCAGGACCCCGCTGGATGGCGCTCGTGATCTTTTCTCGGCCTCCCGAAGGGCGTCGCATCACTTTGCCATTTACGCCACCAGCGGGGCCCTCGAAACTGGGCAAAACCAGACGAGTTAGTAAGCGAATTGTGAGATCTCTGCATCACGGACGTGCTGCGGGGGCCCCCCCACGTGCGGGTATAAACCTCGGGCGATCCTCGCGAGATTTTGCGCACCCTTGGGGGGGGCCCTGCATCTTTCCACCAACCACCTTGGGTCGGACGTGGCGGTCTTGCCACACACTGTGCAAAACGTTAAACCAAAACGGCCCCAGAAGGAAAGCTTGTGGCTCGCGCACAGCAACTTCCCCGCGACAGTCTGTGGGCCGTGGAGCGGTGAGATGCCCTGGCCACGGGGCTTGGGGCAACACCTCGAGAGGCTCCCAGAGCGGATGGACTCCCTGGTCTCGAACTGGGAGCAAACCAAACAGAAAAACTTAGAACCCACCTTCCGCCACTGATGCTCGCTGGCACGAAGACTCCTGGTCAGGATGGGAAGCCGCAGGACCCCTGGGGCCTCGGGTCGAGACGCGGTCCACGGATCGGCCAGGATGCTCGCAACCAGAGCTCTCCGAGCTCGACGTCTGACCAGGGCAGCCTCGGCATCGCGGCGGTCGGTGTCGGGATTCGCGAGGCTGCAACGCCTGCTCGCTTGGGCGCCTAGGCCCGCGAGTGCGTCGGCACACGCGTTGCCAACAGCATATCGAACCGCTTCCTCGGAATTCACATCCCTAGCCTCGACATGGGCAGGGATCCAAATCACACGAATTACTCTGTCTCCTGCTGCCTCCAGGATCCTGGTCCAAAGGTCGAGGTTCGCAGGAGGGGTCGAGGAAGCGAGGAGGAGCGGGACTCCTTTGGACCAGGCCTGGGCCAGGGCCAGGTGGTCCGTCATATATCGGATGTTCCCTGGGATCTGTTCTAGGGCGGCGAGACAGGCAGAGAGCTCGGCCCTCGGGACCGTCTGGACCCTCCCACCAAGGGAAGACGAAAAACCGAAAATCGGGTCCAGGCTGCCAGAGGAAAGGGAAACAAATCCGAAACCAGCGCGTCTGCGACGCCAGTCACTGCTATGCTCACCGCCCGACCCATCTCCAAAAATCTCAGCGAACCCCTCCTCATCACGTGGGATTGCCGACCGATCTCCGAAACTGTTCGTGATGGGTGGGGTCTCGTCGAAGACTGGTATGGTGTCGGCAGCCGCAGGGACGCCTCGAAGCCAGAGGGACGGAGAGGCCTCGTAGTTGGCGAACGCCTGTGCGGTGAGGAATTCGCTGTCCGTGTAGTCGTCGTGGTTACAGTTGGCCGCACATGTCCATATCCTGTGGAAAAGCGACTCATCCTGTTCTCCACACCTCGGGCATGTGGGGGATACCTCGTATCCTGCGGCCAACATTCGCGTACGTGTCCACTGGCCACCTGTCGTGACCACCGTGTTGAGTGCGATCTCGCTATACTGCTCCCTCCTGGCGAGTCGGCGGTTCTCCTGCTTGATCGTGCTGAAGTCGCCTCCACTGTGTAGGTCATCACCTGCTTCGTGCTTCGAAGCCCGAGTCCAGAGAACTCTGTCCACTGAGCTGTTGATGTCGTTGAAGATCTCCGAGTAGTCCGCATTCAACTTCTTGAAGTCCTCGTCTTCTCTTGCAGGAATGAGCCAGCTCTTACCTGCGTCCGTGTCCCACTGGGTCGCCGCGATCGGGTCCCAGTTGATCTCGAGGAGGGTGGCAATAGTTGCCCCCGCTGGGCCACGGACGATCCTCCACTTGCGTTGGCCAGCCTTTCGTATGCGGTCGAGGATCTTGTCCCAGGATTGCCGAATCCTGTCGTGGATGCCTGGGCACTGGCGCCACATGGTCAGCCACGCTGCGATCTGCTGACGCCTGATGCGCTTGGCAGGGTCGTCGTCCCCGTACTCGATGGCCAGCGCCGACGTCAAGCATCTTCCTGGCCCCACGCCAGACGCGGCAGCAGCAGCTTGGCGTCGGAGGCGCAGCACTTCATATTCAGGGAGCCCGTGATGCTGATGTGAGTAAGTCCCAGACGGCATGGCACCAGTACTCCAAATACCTTGCTATTCTCTCTTTAATCGGGCGATTCTCCTGATTCTGTGAATGGCTGCCGACCGTCTGCTAGCCTTAGTCATTCTCCTTCGTGCTGTGGCCCCGGCGCGAGCCCGTCCTGGAGCGACGTCGGCCCCCAAGTCTGTGGCGGCCTGTGCTGAGGTAGCCCGAATGCCCTTTCTCCGAAGTGCTCGGGCCACTGTGTTGGCGATGCTGCTCGTGCTGGCGACAACGACCGTCTTGGGGCTGATCGTGAGGCCCTCGTGTTGCATGTCGTGGCCGATGGAGGCGCCAGCTTGGGCCAATGTGGTCTCGACGTTGTAGGCCGTGCCCTCGCTGCGAATGATCGTGTCGTCCACGAATGTCTTCATAATGATGTTGAACTGGCACTTGTCATGAGCCCGCTGGAGGATAGGGCCCAATAGTACCGTTGCTAATTTGCCGCCGCGTGGAGATCCTGCCACCAGTGACTTCTCGATCTTGATCGGCCTGCTGATCCACTGGCGCTCCTTGAGGTACCTGGGGGCAAGAAATATCTGTAGTTCCATCGCGAGGATGACTGCGGGGAAGCCCTGTCTGAGTCCAGCTTGGCAGAGCTTTGTGATGGAGATGCTGTCGTAGAACTTCTCCAGATCTAGAAGGATTGTCGCACAACTGATGCCCATGGTGAAGCAGCGCTCGTCCATGCAGGCTCTCGCCAGCGAGGCTTGCAGCGGGCTGCTCCCTTTGATGGCCGTGTCCCAGAATTCGCCCAGCTGGTCACTCCACCTCTCACTCAACGGGTAGCGGAGCTTGGACCAAACCTTCACCGCGTAAGGAAATAATCCCAGGATCCTGTCGCCCCCCTTGGGCTTGGGGGCGACCGCACCTATGACCGTGAATATCTGATGGGGCCACATGAGGTGGTTCTCGCAAAGATTGAGGACCTCCACCATCTGCCTACGTCCTGGCTCTGGGAGTCGTTGCACCTCCAGCGGGCCGAGGTTGTCGATTCCTCTGGCCTTCTTCGGGTTCTGCTTCGCCAGCAGGTGGTCCAGGTGCTCCAGCTCGATCGGGTGCACGTCCTCCTTCTTGGCTTGCTCCGTGACATACTTGAGGCCGTCGAGGATACTTTTGTGGTCGGAGCTGGGGTCGGGCCAGATGTTCTCCCAGAAGTCAGCTCTGCGATCCATGATCTCGCACGGTGTGACATAGGTGCTGCCCTCGTCACTGAAGTGCTCGTCTCGTCGAGTAGTAGCTGGCTTCACATGTCGGTGTAACGCACCTGGAGCCTGCTTCCACATGCGTGTGACCCAGCTTGCAAAAGCCCGCCTGCCGTTGGCGAGTCCAGTACCCACCGCACGGGCTTGAAACCTCAGGCCGATCTCCAGTAGGGCCTGCAGCGAGTCGATGTTCTGTCCGTCTAAGTCGGTGATGGCCTTGGTCCACTCCTCCAGGGTCCTCTTGTCCTCTGGGTCGTTGTACTTGTCGAGGAAGTTGTTCTCGGTGGCAATGTGTAGCAGCTCCTGCATTTTTATTGCCATGCGCTTGTAGTCCCGCTCTGCGAACTTGCGCCTCGTTAGCTGATATATGGATATGATCGTCGTTGCCAGATGCCACCACTCCACGATTGGGTCCCGCATGTGTGTACGGGCTGGTGTGGCACGGGTTCTTCGCCAAGTGATCCCATGCTCTCTGGCCCTGCCTTCATACTTTTCCAATCGGACTCGGGAATGTTGCGGTGCTTGAGCGTGGCCTTCTCCACTGTCTGCACCCAATCGCCGAACGCCTTGGCAACCTTCTTCTGCGCCTCAACGTCACGGGTCAGCAGGAAGTGGGAGGAGGGGTAGTTGTCCTGGTCGTCGTTCGACTCCTTCCTCACGTGTTTGCCCGTGTCCTCTCCCAGTCCTGCCACCGTGGCGGCTGCCGAGTGCCACACCTCAATCGGTATGTCGAAGGTGACCGAGTCGTTGCTGTGTGTGTCCTGCGTGGTCGGCCAGTTGTGGAGCTCCTCGCATGCGTCCTGTAGCTCCTCCTGGAGTCTGGCCTTTGCCCGCTGGTGCCGCTCGGCTAGCAACTTCTGGCGCTTGCTGTTCGGGTCCGCTTTCTTGGCTGGTCGTCCCGCCGACGGGAGCTGCTTGGGTATACACGTCGCTCTATGCCACCAGTGCTGCTTCCCCGCACGTATGGAAAGCAGTAATCCCACGCGGGTCTTCCAGGGGACCTCAGGGACTGCTTCGAGCTTGAGGGAGCCGCCGAACCCGCTCTTGCAGATCCCGTAGTCAATGAGGGACCCGCGCCCCAAGTTGCAGGTGGTCTTCGTGTTCTCAGGGAGGATAGGATGGCCACCGATCTTGCGCAGCCACTTGGTTCCTTCCCATGCCTCTGGTGGGTTGTTCCAGTCGGCGAGGACAACCCACGGGTCGGATATCATATTGATGAAGCTGGCTAGCCTGATCATCATCTTCTCGTTGGGGCCCTTGAGACCGTGCTTCGGCTGCATGCACGCGGAGATGACGACGATGTTGCCAGCCTTCGTGTGCCACGTCGTGGGCAAAATCCTTGGAAGGGGTCGACTGCAGACCGTTCGATCTCGTGCTTGCGCCACCCCTCGAACGTCGCGGTGGCCAGTGAACGCTTGGATATGATGGCTTCGCCGCCCGTCGCGCCTTCAGCTGCTCTGCCCGACGGTGCTGCGGCGGTGACGGCGGCCTTCCATCCGTCTTTGCTGATCTTCTCTGTGAAGTCCAGGACCTTCACGCCTCGCAGGTGCATCTCCGCGAATCCTATGACATCGTACTGCTCCGCCTGGGCTGTCATGAATCCCTCCGCCTGCGGGCCCCACTCCGAGATGTTCGAGAAGAAGTACGTCGCATCGTAGTTCTCTGGAACGGGGGCACGAATGCAGGAGAGGCCGTGTGGTGGGAGGGGCGGCTGAAGGGTGTCACCTGGCCTCGGGTGGCCTCCTCCTCCCAGGCCGATGGGTAGGTCACCCTCGCTGCGCGGCCGCAGCTGCAGCTCTGGGCGCGCCGTCGCGAGAGCTCCTAGCACCATTGCCAGTGCCCAGGGGAGGGAAGTCGCCCATGCTGGCCAGCGTGGCCTCCCTGGCGCTCGCGATCTTGGCGGCGATGTCGCTCTCTGAGACTGCGATGGTGGGGCCGTCCTCCGCAGCAGGTGCCTGGTCTTCGTCAGGGCCTTCAGCTTCTGCTGCGCCAGGACCAGGGACGGAACCGTCCTGACCACGCTGCCGTTTCGCAGGGGCAGCTCGGATCTCCTTGACGCTCTTGAGCGCCTCCTGCATGGTCTTCTGGAGGTCCTCCACCTTCTTGCAGTGCTCCTCCACCTGCTTCTGGATGGCCTTGAGCTGGGCCTTCTGCGCGTCGTCGAACTCGTCGCTGGTAGCGAAGTCGAACTCATCCATCGCGAGGTAGATCTTCTTGCCGTCCGCGGTGTAGCCGTCCTGCGTCTTGGCGGCGCCCGTGGAGTCGGCGAGGGCCTTGACCGCCAGCGTGTGGGCCCGCTTCGCGGAGAGGGCCTCCTCCGCCGTCTGGTGGAGCCACAGCTTGGCCTCCTGGAGTGCCGTCTCCAGCTTGATGACGTCTGCAGAGGCCTTCTGAAGGGCCAACTCCTTCTTCTCCAGGGTCTGGCTGCAGCGGTAGACCTCCTGGTTGGGCGATACCGGCTTTGCCTTGCTCGCCTTGAAGGAGTTGTCAGCCTGGCGGAACACGTCGGCGTGCTCAGCGAGGGCGGGGACATTCGAGAGGATGCTGAGCATCTGCGAGATGTCAGGCTCCTTGGACCACGGGTGCGTGCCTTTGCCACTGCCGAAGTGCCACGCCGACTTGTCCTCGCCCTTGCCGCCCTTGTAACTGTGGATGCCTTTCTTACCTTTGCCGTTGCCTTTCGCCGCTGCAGCGTCAGGCTTGAAGAGTGTGACCTGCTCCCCGCACTTGCCACAGAATCCGCCGTTGTGCAGCAGGCGGAAGTTGTACGTCCAGTTGCCGCAGGTACACCAAGAGAATGGGCGCGGCGCCATGACTGATTGACAGGTCGAAAGGGAGCTCTAACCCCAACTGCGCTGGCAGCTGGGCGGTGCGATTCTCCCGAAATCACCGAGAACACAGTGCTGCTCTGGCAGCTCAGATTTTGGCACGGAGGCGCGGAGCCCCCGAGTGCGGGCATCTTGAGCCAAAATGGCTACGGAGAGGAGGAGGAGGAGGAGGAGGAGGAGGCGGAGGAGGAGGAGGAGAAGGGAGGAGGGAGGGAGGAGGGAGGAGGGAGGAGGAGGAAGAGGAGGAGGATGGGAGGGGAGGAGGAGGAGGAGGAGGAGGAGGAGGAGGAGGAGGAGGAGGAGGAGGAGGAGGAGGAGCATGCCCCCGCGGCTCGAGTGGCGCCCCCCCCCCCCCCCACACCGGTGCGACTGGGCCTGCGCGGCGCGGGGCGGAGGGCCTCGCGCGGGAGGGTGGCGCAGGTGCGTCCCACGGGCGGGGGAGCCTCCCTGCCTTGAGGGGCGCACGAAAATATACTGCAGTGCTGCCCGTTCTCCTCGGAGGCACGCGTCCGGCCCTGGCATGTCGTATACCCATCCTGTAGCAGATCGTTTCCCGAGGGGTGTGGCCAGGAAGCGTCCGCCACGACGCACATACTACAAGGTTTCTCGGTGCGCGCGTCGCCCTCGGCGGGGCGACGCACAAAAAGTAATAAAAGTATGTTGGGATGACGCCGACTGCCCGCGGGGGACCAAACACAAGCGCGCAAGCAGTCGCTGTCGCATCGCGCTCAGCGATCGGGGGGACCCCGATGAGCCCGCACCAAGGGTCACCCAGGCAAAGGCTCACTCTGACGATGTAGTCGATGCTCAACGGTGGGTGGTGGGGCCAGGGGCGTCGTGGACGGCGGAGTCCACAGCGAAACGCGCGCCAGGGCAAACGAATCCGAAGCTATGTATGCGTTTCCACGGGCCGCGAGCGTGCTTCCACGTCGCAGCCTCGAGGGCCGCCGTTGTGGACGCCCGAAATGGGTACGGAAAAAGTGGGCACGATGCACAACAACAATTGTCTTAAACCGGCAGCGACCGCTGATGGCGTACATAGGCGATCTTGCATCCCGGACGGACAACGACAGCGGCGACGCCGACAGCAAATCCTGCCCAAAATGAACAAGAACTGCTGTTGGATGTTGTGGCCGCTCCTTCCTGTGGGACCTCGCGTGTGCCGGGGAAGGAGCGCGCAACGACAGGCGCCCCGGTTCGGGGGCGGAACGTGGTGGCATGATTGCCGCGACCGTGAAGGGCGGCACGGCGCCAGCGCCAACTGATGCGATTCCCGGGAAAGAAGCCAGGGGACTAACATCCCTCGAGTCCCCCTGGAAGCTGCTTTCCCGAAAGCCAGCTCCCTTGGAAAGCCGTCTTCCGTACAGTCAAACCTCAGACAAACGAACACCCCTCGAGAACACGAGGCCCTCCGCTGGCCAAAGACACACAGAACATCCAAGGGTCCCCCGAAAGGGTGAACAAAAACATCCAACGAGCACGATGAACATTATGGTACCATCCCCAGACCAGCCTCGATTTTAAACCTCGGTCCAACCACAGACATCCGGCTGCTCCAATTTTTTCGATGCGTGGACCCCGGAGGTCTGGACCACTTCCCCAGGGCTGGCTGCGTCCCGAATCGGTATGCTTGACGCTCCCGAAGCCCAGCAAGGGCCCCAGAGGCCGAACACGGCCAAAAACCGCCCGCTTGTGTTTTTTTGTTGGGGGGGGGGAGCGTCGGATCTCTTGGACAATGCCCATCTCGCCCCCCCCCCCCCCGGGGAAACCAACAGGTACCGATGACCGCTACTCCCCGGACCTCTCCCGGGGTGCGTTCTGACCAGAATTTTGAGGCGAATCCAGCGGTGGCGACGAGGGCCTCCCAGGAGGCCCATAAAAGGGGAAAACGGGCGAAACGTAGAGGTATGGGTACGTCCTTCGACTCCTTCATCAGGAGCATCATCCTGAAGGGAGCGTCCGGGAAGGAGTTCTTCAGGCTCAGCGTTCGCACGATGTTCTCCTTGTCCTCGCTGGGTGCAGCGGCGCTTTGGAGTCGCCGTCTTCGTCGTGTTTCTCCCCTATCCTCCTTCACCTCCTCGCCTTCGTCGCCGATGTCCGCGCAATCATTTCCTCTCTCTCTCTCTTTCTCTCTCTGTTTGTCTTCTATATATATATATATGTATCCCTCTCTCTTCATAATTATCCTACTCCCTGTCCTTCTCCTCCTACTCTTCCCCACTGAGAAAGAGGAGGAGCAGCGGGATGAGAATCAAATCGGCCCCCTGTAGAATACCCGTCTAATTGCCGCACTGGCTTGCAGGCCGTACCGTGGCCACGTCGCCCGTGCCGGTTTTTTGCTCTGTTCTTTCGTCTGGCTGCAGAGGCGCTGCAGCCCACCAGTGCGGTCGTGCCTGTGCCGCGCAAGACCAGAAGAGCGAGGAGCAACACGAAGGGAGACGCTGAGAGGCCGGACGCGCATCAGACACGGTCCGGGGCAACCGGAAGCCGTGGAACAGCACCCGATCTGGGCCCGCCTGGCCTGGGCACAGTGGCGTCTTCGCCAGGCGCGGCGTCGGGTCGTTCCAAGCATCCAGCTGTCCTGCATCGGAGGATTCGAGGGCATCCAAATTCTTCCGAGTCGCTAAGATCACGGGAACCCCCCCTCAGGACCTCGGCAAACCGTCGGGAATATCATACACCTCTGCCGCACTTCTGATCCGTTTAGCTCTATTACTATAGATCGTCCTCTTCACCCTCCTCCTCCTCCTCCTGCGCCGCCTTGTCCTTCTCCATCCTGCTCGTCGTTGTCACCTTCGTATATTTCCTCATGTGACCGTCTTCGTAAATGAGACGTGACAGTCTGCTTCTGAGAATCCGTCGACGGCGCTTCTCCTGGCGGACCCGTCACGTGTGTGTTGGTCTGGTCTTGCTTGCACAATGAGCATACAGCCAAGCCGTATGAGAAGGATGCCCGTTGAGGATGCAAGGGCATTGGAGGGCCACGTTAGCGTTTTTCGAACGAGGCCGGCCAGCGAGGGTCGCTAAATAAGGATGGCCCGAGGGGGCAAGGATGCAAAGGTGACCGTTGGGAAGGCTGCCCGTGCTTGCTGTGCGGGTCGACTGCACATTCCCCGTGGAGTTGAGCTGGCCATCGCGGACCTGCGGCAGAACACCGCTTCCGCCTGTTGCCTGTCGAACGGCGCGCCGAAGGAGGAGGAGGGAGAGGAGGGAGAGGAGGAGGAGGAGGAGGAGGAAAAAGAGGATGGAGAGGAGGAAGAGGAGGGAAAGGAGGAGGAGGAGGAGGAGGAGGAGGAGGAGGGGGAGGAGAGGAGGAGGAGGAGGAGGGAGAGGAGGAGGAGGAGGAGGAGGACGACGAGAAGGAGGACGAGGAGGACGAGGAGGAGGCACACCCTCGGCGTGCCATCCGGGAACTGCGCCGCGCGGCGCTGTGCGGAGCGCAGTGGCTGCCGCCATGCGGCCCGCATCGTCCAGGGCTCCCCCCAAAGGCCATCGCATGCCCCCCCGACAGCCTGCCAGGACGTCGATCGGTGACTCACAGACCGCCTCCCTAACCGCAGTAGGTCTTCAGACCCCCCCCCCCGCAGCGGAAGCAGATCTATTCTTCGGCGACCTTGCGGACGGACTGGGGCCCCACCAAATCGCGGAGAATGCTCGTTTCTCCGCGGCGCCCACCGCAGAACAACGACGACGACGACGACGACCGTGATTGCAACCACGACTACAATCACGACTACAACCACAACAACTGATTTCTGGGACAGTGCTCCGTGAGAAAGCAGATGCTCGCAAAGCCTCTCGCGTACAGGGGCTCACACAATGGCATTTTCCCGGGGAGAAAAAGCCCCTCAACACTATCCAACCCGCCCAACAATAAAGAGAAAATCATCTCCGCCGCGACGACGACGATGACGAAGACGATAACGACCACGAGGAGGAGCAGGATGAGGGGGGGAATAGGAGGAGAAGGAGCAGTATACGCCCAAGGCTCATCAACAATACTGTGAAAAACCCTCCCTCGAAATTCGTTGTTTTTTTTTTTTCATCGGCCCCTTTCACGGATTCACTTCCACTGAGGGAAATGCCCCGTTTGAAAACAACTGCTTGGAAATCTGGAAATGCGCCAGACCACCATTCCTGGAACTCCAACGCCACGAATCACAGTTACTGTTGCGTCTTGACGTTCCAGAAGCGCGCCAGAACGCCATTCCTGGGATTTCAATACCACGAAATCCGCGGGCCCCCTTGCGGGGCCACCAGGCTGCGAGGGTGAAGATTGCAGCTCCCTGCTCCAGTTGCAGTTTTCAATTTCCACTGTTACAATCCTGTTTTGTGGTTCCGTCCGTTGATTGTTGCTGTCCGCGTGAGGGGTGCGAGCCCCGAACGGGATTTTTGCCCACGCCCTGGGAGGATTCTCAGAACTTCTCGGGTGGCCGTGGGATTCACAACAGTACTTACGATTCACGTCCCTGAAGCCATACACCTGCCTAAATTATGCAATATTCGCGTCCCCGAGGCCAGAAACCTTGTTAAATCATACAATATTCGAATCCTCGAGGCCATCAACCGTTGCAAATTACACGATACTGGCGTCCCCGAAACCATCAACCATCGTGAATCACATGATACTCGCGTCCCCGAAACCATACACCCATGTAAATTACGAAGTCTTCGCGTCCCCGGGGCCATAAACCTTCGAAAATTACGCAGCACTCGCGTTCCCGAGGCTATTAAAGTTTGTAAATTACGCAGTGTTCGCGCCTTCGAGGCCATACACCCCTGTAAATTACGCCGTAGTCGCGTCCCCGAAGCCATGCAACCTCGTAAAGTACGCAACAGTTGCGTCCTCGAAGACGCTAGTGAATTTCGCGATTTTCGCGTTCCCGAAGCCATGAACATTCTAAATTACATAATACTCGCGCCCCCGAAGCCATAAAACCGTATAGAACTTTACGTTAGTCACGCCCCCAAAGCCACAAACCCTTGTAAATTACACAGCTGTCTCGCCTTCGAGGCTACGATCCCTCGCGCATTACCGCAGATCTTCGCCTTCGAGGCCTTGATCTGTAGTAAATGAGAAAGGATTGGCGCCGTCGAGGCCAAGACCGCCCCAAGACTGCCTAAGAAACCACCAGAGAAACCCCAACACGGCCCCAGAGCTGTCAGGAGGCACCCAGGACGGCCCAAGAACTCCTGGAGATGGCACCAAGAGAGGTCCAAAGCGGGACCACGAACCAAAGCTTTGAGCCTTCAGACCCGCGAGGACGAAAGAGGGCTGCAAGTGGCTGCCAAGCCACCCAACAGGCTCCAAGAGGCTTCCGAAGAGGGCAGCCAAAGCCACGCAATGTTGTCCAACGTAGCCTCAAGCAGCCCCGAATCGCCGCTCCAATACATGGCACGAAAAGGAACTCGAGAACAACACTATTTACTTCAACAGTACGTTCTGAACCGGAGTCTGCCGCGTACCAGATCACCCTCGCAGGAGGTTCAGACAGTGTTTCGCAACGGCGCAAAGAAATTCCAGCGTAGCTCTGACACCGCCCATTCTGATAGAGAGGGGGCCGGCGGCAGAGTGCGAGCTACTTAAGGATAACGTGGCTGGTGCGCCCTGACACTCCGACATCGTGCGCAAACACCATTTCCGGGAAGTTAACCATGAGAATCATTGAAGCTGCTGCAAGCTTTCAAGAGGAATGTGCGCGGTGCTGAGGCGGAAACCACATTTGAGAAAGAATCGCCATCCATCTGCGAAGCTCTTGCACATTTTTTTAAGCATGTGCGCGGCGCTCAGGCGAGAAGTACATGTTGAAATGGAACCACCCTCCATGCGTGAAGCTCTTGCGAATGTTTACGGCGAGTGTGCGCGAAGCTGAAGCGAGAGCTCCATTCTGAAAGCGGACTACCCTCCATCCGCGAAGCTCTTGCAGGTGTTTGAAACGAATGTGCGCGACGCTGAGGCGAGAGCCACCTTTCGAAAGCGGACCACCATCCGCCCACGAAGCTCTCGCAAGTGGTCTGAACGACTGTGCGCGACGTTGGTGCGAGAAAAACCGACCGCCCTCCATCCACGAAGCGAGAGAAACCGACCGCCCTCCATCCAGTTTCAGACGAATGTGCGCAGCGCTGAAGCGCGACAACCGCATTTTGAACACGGACCGCCCTCCGTCGGTGAAGCTCTTGCAGGTGTTTTGAGCAAGTGTGCGCGACGCTGCGGCGAGAGCCACCTTTTGAAAGCGGACCGCCATGCACCCACGAAGCTCTTGCCAGTGTTCTAGACGAACGTGCGCGACGCTGCGGCGAGAGCCGCCCTTTGGAAAAGAGCCGCCCGCTGTCCGTGAAGCTCTCTTGCAAGCGTTTAACGCAAGTGTGCGCGGCGCGGAAGCGAGACCAACATCTTGAAAGCGGACCGTCCTCCATCCACGAAGTTCTTGCAAGTGCTTGAGACGAGTGTGCGCGGCGCTGCAGCGCGAGCCCCGTTTTGAAAGCGGACCGCCCTCCATCCGCGAAGCTCTTGCAAGTGTTTGAAACGAATGTGCGCGACGCTGAGGCGAGAGACGCATTTTGAAAGCGGACAACCCTACGCCCGCGAAGCTCTTTCAAGTGTTTTACACGAATTTGCGCGACGCTGCGGCGAGAGCCGCCTTTGGAAAGCGGATCGCCCTCCATCCATGAAGCTTGTGCACAATTCAGGCTCCAGGAGCACAAAGTGCGAGGACGCCCCAGGCGGCGAAACGCCCGCCATGGCCCCTGGCGACCAGCCTCGGGATGTGCGGCAGGGGGGAACTAGTTATCTCTATGAGGGAAACATCCGAAGGAGCTGGCAGAAGAGGAGGAGGGGGAGGAGAAGGAGAAGGAGAAGGAGGAGGAGGAGGAGGCGGAGGAGGAGGAGGAGGAGGGGCGAGCTTGTTCCCAGCTGGAGGAAACAAGGGGAGGGGACCCAGAAGT